GCTGGCATAACTGGATATCCATCTGCAAAAACTGAAACAAGACCCATACCTCACACCATGCACAAAAACTAACTCAAAATGGATCAAAGACTTAAATGTAAAATAAAAAATGGTAAAGATCATGGAAGAAAAAATAGGGACAATGCTAGGAGCCCTAATAATGGCATAAACACAATACGAGCCGTAAGTAACATGGCACAAGCATCAGAAGAGAGACTAGATCACTGGGAGCTCCTAAAAATCAAACACTTATGCTCCTCAAAAGACTTCACCAAAAGAGTAAAAAGATAACCTACAGACTGGGAAAAAAATTTGGCTACGACAAATCCGATCAGCGTCTAATCTCTAAAATCTACAAGATACTGCAAAACCTCAACAACAAAAAGACAAACAACCCAGTTACAAAATGGGCAAAGGATATGAACAGGCACTTCGCTAAAGAAGATATTCAGGAGGCTGATAGACACATGAAGAAATGCTCACTATCATTAGCCATTAGAGAAATGCAGATCAAAACTGCAATGAGATATCATCTCACCCCAACAAGGCTAGCATTAATCCAAAAAACACAGAATAATAAATGCCGGAGAGGTTGTGGAGAGACTGGAACAATTACAGACTATTGGTGCGAATGTAAAATGGTACAACCACTTTGGAAATTGATTTGGCACTTCCTTAAAAAGCTGGAAATAGAAGTACCATACAATCCAGCTATCCCGCTCCTTGGAATATATCCTAGAGAAATAAGAGCTGTCACACGAATAGATATATGCACACCCATATTCATTGCAGCACTGTTCACAATAGCAAAAAGATGGAAACAACCTAGGTGCCCATCAACACACAAATGAATAAACAAATTATCATATATCCACACAATGGAATACTATGCAACTATAAATAACAACGATGGAGCCAGGAAACATAACATGGAAGAAGCTGGAGGTCATTAGGCTGAGCGAATTTAGTCAGTCATAGAAGGACAAATGTTGTATAAGACCACTATTATAAGAACTCAAGAAAAGGTTTAAACACAGAAGAAAACATTCTTTGATGGTTACGAGGGTGGCGAGGGAGGGTAAGGGTTATTTACTAACTAGATAGTAGATAAGAATTATCTTAGGTGTAGGAAAGGAGGGCACACACTATGGGGGAAGTCAGCACAACTGGACTAAACCAAAGCTAAGAAGTTTCCTGAGTACAATTGAACACTTCAAGGGACAGAGTAGCAGGGGTAGGGATCTGGGGACCATGCTTTCAGGGGACATCTAGGTCAACTGGCATAACAAAGCTTATTAAGAAGATGTTCTGCATCCTACTTTGGTGAGTGGCGTCTGGGGTCTTAAAAGCTTGCAAGCAGCTATCTGAGATGCATGAATTGGTCCCAACTACCTGGGGTAAAGGAGAATGAAGAACACCAAGGACAAGGAAAGTATTAGCCCAAGAGACAGAAAGGGCCACATAAACCAGAGACTTCATCAGCCTGAGTTCAGAAGAACTAGATGGTGCCTGGCTACCACTAATGACTGCCCTGACAGGGAATCACAATAGAGAGTCCCTGATGGAGCAGGAGAAAGGTGGGGTGCAGAACTGAAATTCTAGTAAGAAGACCAGACTTAATGGTCTGAATGAGACTAGAAGAACCCTGGAAAGCATGGCCCCTGGATTCTCTAT